TGAGGCCCTGGGTCACCGTATGGATGGACGCTTATCAGGCACGAGAGCTGACGTGCACCAACCAAACCAATTATCAGAAAAGCGTTCTTATACCGTTGTGCTCACTAAGCGTGACGATTGGCTGATAACTGACAAGTGCTAGTCGAGGCCAGATTTGATTATGTTTATCTGTCGATCCAATTAATGGTCTAATTGCATTTGCCTACATGGCAGTTGAGAGAAACAACAGGCCGACAAGGGCGCACCTAAGAATTGCCGGCCTCAGAATGTTGTGCACAATTTGACCGTGCATCTCACAAGTATCCGATGTAACGGAATGCAGTTCCATGTCTCAAATCTACTAAGGCTTTCTTCTCTTTGGTAGTTAAGCACTAGCTTGTATTACTGGCGTATTGCTGTCAACAGTGGTGATGATAAAATTATACCCGTTAGCTCATAGTGGCTTTATTAAATAAACGGGACGAGTATGGCTTTCATTTTGACAAGCCATATCCGCCGGCTGTACGCTCGCCTTAAAGAATAAATATCACACAGGCCTGAAACACTACTCATATGGCTATTGAAAACTTTTCGACAGACAACGACCGGTTTGGCCCTTCGTGGGGTCATCAGGTGGACGCAGTCCCCGAGTTTCCGTCAACCTTATGTTCTACTTGAACCCAAATTGGACAGATTTTGACCGTCATAAAGGATGTATTAATCTGAGTTCAGTGTCAAAACTAAATCTGTGTGAAAATGAGAGCAACTGAAGAAACACCATATTTCTTTTCCACGAGTCTATCTCCTCCGGGAGTAATCTTATTGCTATTTTGCACCCCCAAGGTATATTTTGCATAACAGCGGATAAGCAGGGGTGAAACCGTGTGATTTGTGTCTTGAGTTTGATGACGGCCTGCTTATAGTCAGCTGAGATACTCGGGAAGTGCATTTTACCTAACGGATTTAATATACTATAAAGTGCAGTAGCATCAATAGGGGTTTTATAAGGTATTTGATTTCTTTGACTAGAATCACTTACGTCTCCTAAAAAACGAAAATCAGGTTAGATCCAACAAGTCAGAAGCTATTGATCATAATAATACTAATAGTAATAATGTCCCTGGTGACTATTCTTTCGCCTCTGAAGCTATTTATAATATCTTTTCATTCTACGGTAGACAGGTTTCTTTCTCCGATGTTTACGATCGGTCCATCAGTGTCCGAAAAATTGTCCACATTGTCAAACATCAATTTTCGCCTGCAGACTGTTTTCGCAGTTCCACGTAAGGTTTCCGAGTACTATACTCAACATATTTTTTGACTGCCCAGGCGTATGTCCAGTCTATGGCATGAAGCACGAATCTTTGCGCCAACCTGAGACCGATTAATCTTATTCTGATCAAACTGCTTAAAAAACTTAATCGAGATGTTTTTCATAAAATTCTAGCACAATTTTAACGTGCGCAAGGTCTAACAACCTTGAACGCGTCGTTTTGTCGCATTTGAATTCACCAACTAAACTGCTGATCGGTTTGCTCTTTGATTTTGAAGTTCAGGTGTTCCACACGTTAAAAACCTGAGTAACGAAATCAGTGGTATCTCCAATGAAATCAAACCTTAGTTTGGTCCTGTAAAATGTGCAGCAATGATGTCTTGGTTAACGAATGAACGTGGAATGACGGGTACAACACCAACTGCGTGGTCTTGTGTGTCAACCTCAGGTTTGAACTCAAAAGTTGAGTGCTGTTTACCTGACGTAATACCGTACTTATAAGGGTGTTCAGAATTCCTCAACAACCAATTGCCAGTTTTGCCGTTCCTAAAACTCGTCGGACACGCGTAGCTTCCAAGTTTCCATCAACACCAGACTGTATGTAACTGGCGATATCCATCCACTTGCAAAACACACTGGCGTTCGACGGGTTCACAAAATTTGCATACTCAATCATTCGACATTTCTATCCTTACTTCAAACTTAATTTATGCGGTGCAGTTCTGAGTCTATTCTGTGTGAGAGAATTTTTTTGAAACTTGTATTTAGGATCCTCCGGGTTGCCGAAAGTGATAAATTTGTTCTACTCCAAAGTGTATCAATCTGCTTTTGAACCGGTGTCTACTCATGGGTAGTGCCTGTGTGAGTGAGTTAGTTTCATTACGGTTTGTTTTTGATTGGCTTGTTTTGCCAGTATTTTTTTCGGTATTGGAGATGCATTATAAAATAATAGTCCGTATCACTTAGACTCCTCAGAGAGCTTGAAAAGGGGGAATTGAAAGCTGTGTAAAGGTTCGTTATAACACGTACACATGACGGCTGATCGCAAGAGCGCACATTGAAAAATGGGATTTCCCGAATGAGTGAATGAAGTGGTTTGGTCTAATTTTTCTCATCCCAAAAGACTATGGATTCTTCAACCCTCCCCCCCCCACCGAAGGTGACCTCGAGAGAGTGCGTTGTTTCGTTCCTTTCCGACCGTGTTCGCCTTTAGGAAGGAGAACTGTATAGAGGAAAATGACAATCACCATAAAAACCATTGACAATCAGGACTGAGACACCTTATCGTTATATAATCTTTCATTTATGTTAAACTTTTCATTGTTTTGTATACCCTTTTCTCCCGTGTTGAAAGGGAGGTTTTGTGCCGGGCAGAATGTAGTTCACAATTTATACGACTGGATAGATGAAAATCACTATTGAATTTAGGGTTTTCCTCACGTACCGCCAGTATATGGGATATCGGTTGACTCTGTCTAAAATAAAAATTGTTAAACCTTCTAAATATGGGTGAAAAAGTGATTCCGTCACATCAAACATCACATAAAACACTCGAAATCTTCTTGATAGTTCGCAGCTTATGGCAATAAAATGGACAAATTTTTTTGCATTGACCTACGTTTGGATAGGTTTCAAATATGCACGAACCTACGAGCCTCGAAGTTAAAAATGAAGCCTGGAGGCCAAATGCATAAACGTTTGTTGGTTATGGCCTCCCGCAATCTACGTACAACCATGCAGTGCAGTGTGTAGTGCTGTGTGTGATGTTGTGTTGTTGCTTCGTGTATGGACGCCACACACACCGTAGCGTTTTTGACACGGAAGGACATCTCGATTTTATTTACTGTGGTATCAGCCATTCCCAGATGCTGCACTAGGATGTGGATGTGGCGGTGATTAGTACAACCTTTGATAATTTTGCATTGTGTCTACCTGGCTTCGGACTCTGATGGGTGGCTCATTGTTTGTGTGTTGTGCTTCGTGTATGGACGCCACACACACCGTAGCGTTTTTGACACGGAAGGACATCTCGATTTTATTTACTGTGGTATCAGCCATTCCCAGATGCTGCACTAGGATGTGGATGTGGCGGTGATTAGTACAACCTTTGATAATTTTGCATTGAGTCTACCTGGCTTCGGACTCTGATGGGTGGCTCATTGTGACCCCCCTGTTACTAGTTGCCAGCATCGTGGACACTAATGTGTACACCAAACTCAGCCATGTCGGTATCCCAAATAGAGCCTGCTGGTGGTCATCGCTTTCGTCTTTACCGTGTGACGTATGCCTAGTGGGTATCAGTATGGATTCGCGTAAGAGGACACAATGCATAAGATTGGAACTCATAAGCTCTCCTTTCGATAAACAAAGTTTGAGGTTAAGAACATTTACTCAGGTATCCATATTTTAATTTCCCCATTTAGTATTTTAGTCCGGTCTCAGAAAAGTGTACCGATTCTTCTCATGGTAACTCGATTGGTTCATAAAATTGCTCGAATTTCATTACCTAATTATTTTGTATATGGGTAACGCTGCACCGTATTACGCTAATTTTTATATCAAGGGTTTTACAAGCAGGGGCTACTAATTTAGTTGCAGTTACAATCGACTGCACACCCGTTGGATGATTGTAAGTGAATTCGGTCTATGCACAAAAGCCAAGAACCACCGTACAGATGTTTCATCCTTGTTGAGAATTATCAACAGTGCACAGCTTGCCTTTGAGGCAACGTCTTTGAATTTTGACAGGTAGGATGGAGACTTTACTACTGAGGAATACGTTTGAATTTAAAAATCATCAACAGTGCCCATCTCACAGATCGTAGGGGCGATTCCAACTCGATACCGCCCACGTGGTTGTTGGCCCAAAAACCGTTGAGTCACAAGCATCATATCCGTCAGATTTACTCGCACTCAGAAGTGGCAACGTGTCACTTACTCATCATTTACAAAATTTATATTGCCTGGTCATTTGCTGACTTCCTTTCAGAGTGCCGACTCTTTAGATGGAAATTTAACTTGTCGCGCGCGTTATTCTTGCTTCCCAGCTATCTATATTTTGTTGACAGCATTGGATTTTTGTGGCGCTTCGGGTAATTCTGCGCATAGCAGTTAGAATGACTATCCAACCAGTATATAGATTTCGTGCACAAAATTTTGAGCTGTTAGGCGACTCACCTAGCTGTTCATCAATTACAGAACACGTGTGCGATAGACCTCTTAACAACACTTCTCAGGCTTTCTTTTCACTGTTATGTGAAAGAAACCCAAAATTTCTACCTACCTGTCAGGTTGTATTGACAAGATCGTCAAGCCAAGTTTGTGCGCATAGTCTACTGTTTCGAAGTGTCCGGTCACATTAAATTTGAAATCAACCAACCCCTCGTTAAGGGAAATGTATTTTTCGTTGTATGTAAGTGGTTGTAATCATGTCCCGCATAGTACAAAACTTTACATCTTTTTATGAGCGGCAGTTTTTGGTCATCCTGGTGTTTCGATGTGATACTCCTGCAAAAACATGTGAGGAAAAATGACAGTATTTTTGGCAACTTGAATTGAAAGCAATTTTGAAGTCTCAAGTAATTTCCTTTCTACTGGTTGTCTGAGGAGCGAACCACTCACTTGCATCATTTCGGATGATAGGACAACATGTTTGACGTTTGCAAGTTGTTGGGTGCATAGAATTCTTACTCTTACGTTTGTCGGAGACGTACAAGGTTCTTGTTTTCCCATTCGTGGTTCTACTCACCGTGAGCAGCCAAATAACCACGGCAATGCCCAAACTGTGTAACAATAAATATGCGGGAATAGTACTCAAACAATCTCCTGGATGAAGATAACAAGACCAGCACAGTGGTAACAAAGTTAACTGTCCAAAAAGCTTTGGTACTGTGAGGGGATTCGAGAATTTCGAATGGATATTTCATTTTGTAAGTGAAATGAATCAATACTGACAAACCGGGAAGACTCAAAAGTATACATATAAAGGAACTTCCTGGAGTCTCGAACTCATGACCTCCTGGCTTTTAGTTTGAAAATTTAGTTGTTCGGCAATGGCGACTAGTCAGCAGCGTAATTAGCCGTCAGCCTGAGTAAGTATGTTATGCCATGTGCGTAGTAGCTCTCAGTAGTATTTTCTGTCCACCCCTCAACAAGAAGTTGGAGCGTTTTGCCTACCGTAAGACCACTGATTTGAATTTTGTCAGTTGTTGGCCTTTGGGCATAACTGTGTTTGGAATCTAATCGGAGCATTCCTATGAGATGAAGAGCCCATTTTGTGGGTATATTGGGGTTTATGTTTATGTCTTTGTTTGGCTGTCATCTGTAGAAAGGTTGCCATTATTGATCACCTTAAAGTGGTGTCATATGAACTAGTTTGTATTTTTTTAGCATCTGGTACTTCTTAACACAGTTCTTAGGGTTACTACGTGGAGCTAGAGCCGTGAGAACTGTTGATGTTCTATATGAGTGTGAAGTTCGCACTCATGATTTCCTCACTGGAATACTCTCTCCATGTAGTCAACTCTAACAATGAATGCCACTAAATGAATGGTTTCATTAGGTCGATCATCAAAAAGCCAGAAGTGCTAAACTGAACAGGCAATTTTAGCAGAAACCACCTACTTCAAAAGATCTATGTGTTGAAAATCCCGCATAGATTGTTTGTGCATCGTCAGTCAGCAAGTGAGTGAAAAGGTCTCTCTCGTTTTTTTACTTAGAATCCGTTTGGTTTATATTAAATAGTTTTTAGCCTTCGGATTATTCAACATACGTCGCCTTCCACAATAACGCAGGCGAAATTAACAAAGTCCGTCTTATTTTATGGGTTCTATCTCCACCCCATAGAATATGTTGTCCCGAGAAATACGTTCGAACCTTGCTGATTAACATGCAACTAATGATCCGAAAATATAACCTCTGAAGTGGTTCCTTCTGGAAACTCCTTCAGACCATCGATATTTTGCAACTGTGAACACAATTCGTAACAATGAAATTAACATAGTAGGTCCACCATTGGTTTTTATATCGAAGGGAACAGATGATAACCAATCCGAGGAAATGCAAACAACGGACCAGCAAAGCGTACAGGAAACCTGTCATATAGTAAGAAGAACGGAAGACAGACCAGCTGACTCAGGTACCTAGGTGTGCAGACCTAGTTTTTATATTCTCATGGTTAAGATACTTTTCCATTTAATCCTTATTTCTCCCCTAATGGCATTCACTTCCCACTTGTGAGATCCAGTTCAAGCCAGAACAAAGTTCGCTATGCTTTTTCTGTGTTTTACCGGACGTGTTTTTCCTCGTACCTCTCTGGGGCGGAAAGAGCATGGTGGCACGACACCACTGAACTTCATCAAACAAGTGCTGGTGACACTGAATCTAATCGTAGCCCTATGTTCAGGGAAAGGTTAAAGCTACGGAAATTCTTACACATTTCGTAGTACAAAGTACAGCATGAGTTTGTGTTCAAAAATTTGCCTTGCTTTGAAATGTATTTTTCAGCAATATGTCAGTATTTGGCTGAGGTACCAATGTCACTTCCAGTATTTGCCAAGTCACTGAATTCGCCTGACTTTTGTTTTCAGCTGGAAAGTTTCACTATACCAAAGAGATCAACAATTTCGATGAAAATTCACCCTCGAATATGTCTTTCAAAAATCGCAAACTAAGTGTACTCCATCTATCCTGAAAATGCTGTCAAACTCCGGAAATCGAAGGCACAGTTGGCTCGTATTTTGATCCGTTAGGTTGTCACCGTTGCCATGCCTCACCCACCATACGTTTCCTGTAGCCCAGCGTTTCAACTCAAATGTCAACCGTTAAAAAAACCACCTTCCCCGTCCTGCTTTTTTCCAAAACAAAATTCAAGCGAATCACCCAGCGGTTACAGGCTTTCCAGTTAGGGGTTACTCCCAGATTAGACTCCTTAGGCGAGTAGGTCGTCAAAATCATTTCGTCTCACATTCGGGAATCCCTATATTTCCCAGAACAAGTAACCGGGTAACTAGGACTAATCACGTTTCCCGCCTACTATGTAATACAGCAGAACTATTTTTATATTTTGTTGTTCACTGAAATTGATGTGTGAGTCTCCGACGCTAAGTGTGCAGACGCTTCTGTTGTTAAGCAGCTACAACCTTGAGGTTGTCTTCTGTGCTGCTATCCAGGGTCGTTTGTTCTTTTTTCTGCACCAGAAAACACTTAGACTATCCAGTACAGGATGTTGGTCACAGAAATTCCGTGCAGTGTGAATCAAGGAGTTTGAAACTTGTATATGATTACTAAACAAAACACACCTGTGTGAAAGGGAGAAAGCCTTCGCTGCGGCGTTATTAGAAAACGCCAACTGAACAGTTACAAACTATTGGATAGGGAAGCAAAACTCTCATACGCATCTTGTTTACGAAAAACTGAATATCCGTCTTCTCCTTGAACGCGTCTTCCTGAACTTTCCTGGATATTTATTGACTATTGCTCAAATGTAACCAAGTGCGAATCCATAAATTCCGTAATAGATCTCATTTTTCAAGAGACGTGAAGTGGATTTACGGGAAGATGTACTACCCGCATGCCCCATCAGTAGTATCCACCGTTAAACACGTTCCTCAAGAGACGGTGGATTTACGGGAAGATGTACTACCCGCATGCCCCATCAGTAGTATCCACCGTTAAACACGTTCCCCCTCTAAAGGTCGTTCGCCTGCTGCCGATTTCCGTTTACCTCCGTCAGGTTGACTCCAGAAGCGGGTCTATTCGGCCGTTCTCCGGGTGTATCATGCCAATTACGATGCTGCGTCTCACTTAGTCTTTTCGATCCACAGAATGCAGCAGTATAGTTCATTCGAAGGGAAGACAATTAACTTAATGCCTTATCTGTTTCCATGAGGTATCCTTAGTACTCATGTCCAAAATAACAATGAGCCGGTTTCTTAAATGTCCCTTGAAACAGGACGCCCCTAAGTTGAAAGTCCATTGCTGGAGGGAGTTTCCTGAGCTTACCTAAAAATTACGATTCAAATAGTCCTAGAGTTTCGTGGAATGTGCATTGCTAATGAGTCCCAAAATGGACGGGAAAACTGTTCAGAGTTTTTGGTTCTTACGTATAGTCTGGATTGTAAGACCAAATCCTAATGAAACAATATCTTCCAATTAGTAAATCATCAAGTGTTTATTGGGAATGGACCAAATAAAAAGATTTTTAAAGCATTGTGTGATCAGTATGCTCGCCTCCCTTGAGTACAAGTCTTGAAGACGTGTAATCTGTTGTGGTGGAATTGTTCACCGAGAACGAACGATATCTATCAGGCGCGTAAACCATAGCCTTATGAATATCATGTGCAATTTCTCCGAACATTCCATAGCCAGGAAACATCTGTCGAAATGCCAGCTTGTGGTGGTGGTTGGGACGTCAGTGCACGCAAAGCTATTACAATCGCTTATCATTTCTGCGCATTTCCATCCCTTCTCAACCAGGGCTTCGCAAGCCTTTTTGATGTCTAAGTAAAATCCAGTAAGTGTAGAATGCACAAGAAACACTGTGATTTAAGACACGAACCACTACAGACATCACATTTTGTCCTATGGGGGCGTGCAAGGCGCTGTTGAGCCCCAAACAAGCAGACAATTGATTACGTAACAAGAAAATTTTACATTTTTCACTCGCTATCTAATTTTCAAGTATATATAGCAAAGTCTTCATTTTGGTGTTGTCACTGACCTGTTGACTTTGACTCGTTCTATCCTCCACAAGTTAGGACGGCAAGCTATCCAGTAAGTAGATGCTTTTATAACGATCATATTCTTACAACTAATACAGTGGTAGTCATGCGCCACCAAGCTGCGAGCTCACAGCTCCATGCGGACAGTCGGAGCTATGGTGTGATTATTTATTGAACGGACTTTCTACCTTATATTCAGCACTGACGGATGACCCATTCTTCCTCAAGACTGTTCCTTGGACTAATAAAATTGATCACCGAACCGCTGTTCCTTCCTATTCCTTAAAGCCAGTTACGCAGTTCAACTTTTCACACAATTTATCATTACGGTTTGTTCGGATCGTGCTTCAGACCATATGACACTAAGGCCGTGGATGAGGGCTGAGTTCAAACACGAAGCCTTCTTCACCCTCGTGTAGTTGAAGTGAGGAGAAGTTTGATATAGTTACTAAAGTCAGCTGACGCACTTTTGAGCGTCGTCTGCTTTTCAACTTTGATACACTCGTTGTCCGAATAAATGCGGTTTTCGCTTCTCCTTCCAAAAACATTTTCTTCTACTTACACCTGATCCTTTCAGGCAGTATCTTAACAATAATTATCCAAAATAATCTTTTAGATACAACACCCTTTCGGTGTCCAGCTGCCATCAAACCCAAACTAAACACGAGATACTGAGATAAGGCCAGGTCGCCCACGTCTAGACAGGAGCAGTTGGGATGCTGACCCTCCGGTCAGCAAGCTTGTATTGTAACTACTGGGCTGTTTCAAGCTATCCCAAATCCCAAGGAGTTGATATAAAATACTGGGTACCGTTTTTAGTCAATTCAGTTTAGTTTCGACTTTGCTTCCAATAATTTGCTTTCCTCAAGCTCCGAAAACCTTGTGTCATATAGAGTTCTCCGACTGATCTGAGTGATATTAAGCTTATTTCTGTTCATGAATATTACCCAGAATGTTTAACTTAATGTCATAAGCATCATTCGTGGGAAGAAATGTGTCTGCACTGCAGCGCCGACTCGTTTTGGTCGTCATGGTGTTTCGCATACTCGCAACTTATTGCACGATACTCGCATGGATTTGTGCTCTTAACTTCTCTAGTTCAAAACTGAACGGCTGCAACCAATAATATCCTTGCTCTCAGTACACTGTCTGAAGGATAGCTGGTTTTGTAAAACTACATAGGAACGCCAAAGCCCAAACGAGCTTATGGCTTCCCGGCATAACACTACTTATGAGGCTGGCGAACACTCGTTAACAGTTCACTACAGGTATCGCTGTTTCGGTGTTAATGAGGTATTCAACTGAATTTCCCTTTATTGATATTCTGTAACTGAATCTTCTGCTATACGTACTGCGGCAGCATATCATAAACGGATGATTCATTTGGGTCTACCGTGGATACCAAGGCACGTGGCAATATCTCGCTTTTGATTGTTATGCCCCTCATCAATGTTATTCAAGAGTGTCACACAAAACTACAAAGACTCAAGACTTCCAAATGGCTGACTCCCATCATCTAATCAGACACGCAAAACAAATATTCAACCACGATTTCAAGGTATAGACAGAGTTCCGATCGGGAGTTCTGTGAAGCCCCTTATAAGATAACATTTTTGTGGGTCCAGAAAAACTAATTTTATCGAAATTTATCCAGGAACTTGTTATTTATAGACGTTACACGAACGATATTCTCAGACTGTGTACGCACCACGTCCAATTTCAACAGTTTCAATGACTAATAAACAATCTCTACAAAAAATTTACGACTGAAACTGAAAGATAAAGCATTGTGAATGTTCTGATGACTTTTCAAGCAAATTGCCCCTTGTCTAGTACCGTCTGCAGAAAATCCACGACCGGGACAATATTTGCAATTCAGGCGTTTTGCGCTAGTCCGCCTGAAACTGGTTACAACACTTTAACAGGCCGTATCAAATAGCAACGTCAGACAGGATAGAGCAGGATTTCGTCTACTGACAAAAACTTTTATTCAAAAATTGGTAACTACCTCAATTGACCGAGAATTATCGCAAATCCGACAGGATTCTGTGCGGAATCATAAAAGTGGCAATTGAGCTGTGACCGGAGTGCTCCTGTGCGAAACAGCTGACACTGTTAAACTGGTTCCTTTTACTCTTATATCTGGAAACGAAATTTTTCAGTGTCATTCACTTGAAGTTGCGAGATCCGTGGCTGAGGGGAAACGAAGAAACCTGAAATTGTGTACACTGTGCAAAACTATGACCTTAACAACAATAATGGCTTCCAAAAACTTCATAAAACCTACACTAAATTCAGTTTGCGGTAAGTAGTAGAAGTTCCTTGGCAGGGTTGGAAATCCGGCAATATTTGCATTCAGGCGTTTTGCGCTAGTCCGCCTGAAACTGGTTACAACACTTTAACAGGCCGTATCAAATAGCAACGTCAGACAGGATAGAGCAGGATTTCGTCTACTGACAAAAACTTTTATTCAAAAATTGGTAACTACCTCAATTGACCGAGAATTATCGCAAATCCGACAGGATTCTGTGCGGAATCATAAAAGTGGCAATTGAGCTGTGACCGGAGTGCTCCTGTGCGAAACAGCTGACACTGTTAAACTGGTTCCTTTTACTCTTATATCTGGAAACGAAATTTTTCAGTGTCATTCACTTGAAGTTGCGAGATCCGTGGCTGAGGGGAAACGAAGAAACCTGAAATTGTGTACACTGTGCAAAACTATGACCTTAACAACAATAATGGCTTCCAAAAACTTCATAAAACCTACACTAAATTCAGTTTGCGGTAAGTAGTAGAAGTTCCTTGGCAGGGTTGGAAATCCGGCATGCGATGCGAGCTTGTTACCACCACTATGCTGGACGCATCTGATTTTTCACGTCTGAGTCGGCGAACATATCCACGCTTGAGTGGCGATTGATTAGTCCGATGACTGGAACGGCTACAGAGTAACTGTCCTATTTGTGTCAGGGCGTCCCAGTCAGGTGGTGCCCCAGACGACTAAAATGTGCTGGACAATTTTAAGATTAGTCTTTGAGGATTGCCAGATTTGTAAAATTGACGGTCACATCACTGTCGTCTGAACAGTCGTTAGTTTGCTGTTCTAGTAATTGTGTATGCCACGACTTGTGTCATGCAAAAAAGCTGTCTGATTTACATACCATGATGAATGAAGCTGTTTGGGGAATTGAGTGTATTTATTCCAAGCAACTCACTTCTAACTGTTGAATGCTTTATAGGAAAGGATTGCAAGTTTGAATTATGTAGGTGCATGTGATGGTTTTTGCGGGAGGTGTATTGTTCAGTCTCACATCACTCTCGTTTTGAACAGTCGTCCTCCTGTCCTGGCGCAATTATTCATGACATGAATAATTGCGCCAGGACAGGAGGACGACTGTTCAAAACGAGAGTGATGTGAGACTGAACAATTATGTAGGTCTTACTCTGGCACATTTGTGGAGTGACGTGGGTTACAATGAGCTGATGTACTCGGTGTCTGTAGTATGCAGTCCCGTTCGGTCAGACAAAAATTACGATTTTATGAAGCGTTCTTCCCAGTGAGACATCCAGCCTTTGCCAGTCTCTTTGTCATAGGCAACTTCTCTTATGTCTTGTATACTGACATTCTTCTATAAGAATTTCGATTGCTGATGGTAACGTCATTACTACTGCCACGTTGTTATTGGTTTCCAAACACGGCTTAGGAGCATACGACCGGCGGAGTAGGTGTGAAATTGTTCACGGCAGGAACGTCGCCATTGCTGGACAGAACGAACAAGCGAACTACCATATTTGTCCATTTAGCCATCCTAAATATCTAAGCAGAAGCTTCGTACGTTTGTCCTGACAATACAGCAGTCCTGGATTCTCTGTCCTTCTCCTTATTGCGTAGTTCGACAGGCTCGATTCATGCGTAACTAATAGATAGCCACACACGATACAGCACCATCTAAGCGATCTCGGCAATTTTGGTTTCACCTTTTAGGCACAGAAGCGTAATAATCCTCAAAACGCGACTGTCTGAAGAAGTGGCCCATTCGGCTTCAATACTAGCCTCACAACTGAGCTTTTATCAGGCGTTGACCAGAAAGAATGAAACAACCACAGCGATCGCGTTTGGTTTCACCTTTTAGGCACAGAAGCGTAATAATCCTCAAAACGCGACTGTCTGAAGAAGTGGCCCATTCGGCTTCAATACTAGCCTCACAACTGAGCTTTTATCAGGCGTTGACCAGAAAGAATGAAACAACCACCGTTCAGCTGATATGCCACTTCAAACCTCACATTTTGTGGTAGTATACACGTATCACAGTACGGCCTAATTGTGCAGAAACTTCAGTTATCAAGCTCCTTATCTAGTATCAGGGGTACCCACGGGAGTTAAACTCGGCCACCGAACATCTTACCTCATCACAGCTTAAGAAAAATCGGCTGCCACACCGAACATTTTTAGCACTATCTTGTCCCTAAAAAAAGGTGATCCCCGTTGGGTCGAACAGTAAGAATTAGTAGTGTTTAAGATTTTGTCCAGCAAACCAATGTTAAGGTTCGCAGACCGAGACAAAGCGGTCTATCCAATCAACAGTCCCTTATCCCGGGGACCTACGTATCTGCATGTGTTATTCTAACCACAGGGTCTGAGAAAACAGTACAGCTACTTAGGCCCTTCTAAGTCAGTGCACTGAACGGGAATTACTGAAATCGAACGATCGCAGTTCCAGCTGCTGTATTTTTGGCGCAGGGTCTATGCCTGATGGGGCCACAACGATCTAGTTACGGACTGATGGCAACTTTGGTTTGGTTGACTTCCTTTCGCCCCCCAACCCCACCTCATTCAGCTAGAAACAGCCAGATTATCTGGCAGTTCAGCGCAGAGGAAACAATAACTCATTGACATTTTGCCTTGACTTGATTCAACCAAAATTGTTAATTGCTATTTGATATCAGGTAAGTATTCCTGTATTATTTCGAAAAATTTCTCTAAATATTTCTCTAGTCAGCACACAGATACTTGTTTGGTATGAGATTTTCAAGCTAGGTGCTAAGTGTGTTGTCGTCATGACTGATCGAATTTAGTCACATTAGTGCTACTTTAGTCAATGCGCCCTTGAACATGCGACGTACCCTTTAGGTCAAAAAGTCACGGAGTATTTTCGATACAGTAATGTGGTCTCAAAATTTAAGTACTGGAAGACAGTGTGTGATCATAAATGACCGCATGACCGGCCTGGTGTCAGATGCTTTGGTTTGACCAACCAGTGCCTGAATTATGAGCCAAATTAAGATAGCTTCACACAATTCGATGACAGAATTTTCATTGGTGTACCGTGCTCATCTTACTGGTGTTATGTTACTACCGTTTTCTTCCTCGACCATCCTCGTGCACTAAAGAATTAGTTGAATGCTCCATTGTATCCTTTCAACATAAGCTAAGAATTTATTCATCAGAAAGATTATCTTATTCACCCAGTTGGCAGTCGACAGCGTGCTGGTGAAGCGAGCAATGTGCCTCAGAGTTCAATTTATCAATAGGGGGCGAGCGTGGATCTGTGATTTATGCGCTTTCCTCCTGGTTGGTATGCACTATGGGATTCTAAATTGTGGATCACTGTACTACCCTGGAATGATGGAGGCTACTGGTTACCCAATAAGCGTAGTAACATGGCTTGTCACCGGGCAATTCTCAGTTGCCTTCTGTTTTGGTGAGTCTTATTTCCTTATATGGTTTTCTTCGAATCATTATTTGCTCTGCTAATTGCTTGTGGTAATACTGATAGCAAAATTGATTGAGTTACCAGTTATTTTGATACAAACGTCAAATTATTTAGATGAAGTCACAAAGTATGGTAGGTAAGATGAGTGCGCATTCAATGAATCATATAGAATATTAGAATGAACAATCCACAGGAAAGACGGAACAGGCCTCTGGACATATGTTCACTGACAGGATAAAGTCTTCAAGTTGTCTCACTCTATTTACAGAATTTTACTGTAAATCCCGAGCCACGCTTCCTCGAAGAACGGGAAACTGTGAGCCTATGCTCTTACGAACCGGAAGTTGTCTGCATGCATCAAACGTGTTTCAGCCCGCTCACTTGTGTTCAGGAGTGGCCTTATCTCTTGGTTTCGTAGCGAACCAAACAGGCACCACTGAAGTGCTATTCCGACACTGCTGCTCAAGTTTGCTAGTGTTGTTAGGTATCCCACAAATGTTTCACTCTTTCTGAGAGGCTACTCTAAGTGGCCAACAATGCTGTCGGTTGTTGTACCCAGTGGAGTAAAATTTGTCCCGTCCACATGTCTCTGATTACTTTTCAGCGTTGGATTTTCCGGAATTCGTCCGTATAGGTACGGTTGAGATAAGCTTAAAAAGACTGAAAACAATCTCCAGAAGGATTCCGTGGAGCTGAATTCAACATAAGTATAAGCAGTTACAAGGCAATTTTTTGGGGTTCAGGCCAGTTCGATGGTTTTATTACTAATCGACACTTTTCAGTGCAATACCTCTCTCTCGGGGAAACATCGGGGTATCTCATCGGTGGTAATTTTTTTATAGATTAGGTATGCAATGTTGACAGTGTCACAGGCTTCCTGTAGTAGCAAAGTTTACTTTGCACTAGGACTGTTCCAACAGCACTTGTTAGACTGTGAAGCGATGCTATCCTCTGTATGGAACGAAATTAGTGTGCACAAGCGAACAACACTGCTGCAAGGTGGTTCACAGCATTGATTCTCCATATGTTTACGATCCAGTAATTTTTGCGCCATTCGAATAACTTCAAATAAAACCTTAGGATAGATCACTAACGACAGAACAAACTGAACTAGTCATTGATCAACGTCGAATATAGGGGTATCCTGAGTTTCTTCATTTTGCGTTTCATCCTCGCCACTGCACCCGTGTCATGCTTCAAGGACTAGAAGTGTGTTCATCTCCGTGTATAATGAGTAATCAAGTCCCGTTACTTCAAGCTAGGAGATGACTAGTGATGTGGGAGAATCACTACTCAGCTCGTGTCATGAATTTGTTATTGTGATGGTCTATTAGAAAACTTGTATGGGTAACATGGGATATTTCCATTCTTGTTTCTCCTTTCAAGAAGAAAAAATAAGCCAGAAGATAACCAGAAGATATGTTCTCTTTGGTTCTGTGTTGGGACGTTTTCTTAGGAGGATGCCTAGTTGTCTGATTGACATAGTCCAACTAGGAGAGTGAGGGTACCTTGACATATATTTCATCGATCTCCTTGTGGCACAATACTTCCCTGTTCATAGGTGTGCTCCGTAATTATTTATAAATTTCGTAGTAATATGAGGATATTTGATCATGTTCAGTAGATTATATCCTGTCAGCGAAGCGCGTCTATGTTGAAAACCCCAGATGTACTGTACAGCTGTGTCATCCTTATTGGGAATCATCAGCAGTCCGCTTCTCACGAAATTCCCGCAAGCAGCCACTCGTAGCCGTCCAAAATACAAGCCTTGGGGTTGCGGGTTTGAAACACCCTACTGAAATTCCCAACAAGGATGAGACGACCGTACAGTACTTCTCGGCTTTACATCATAGAGTGGCTTCACTTACAGAATGAAATCTCCAATGGCTTAAAATCTGCCCCTTTTTTAGTTTTACAAGTGACCGGCTTAGGAACGGAAAGGGTAAAAAAAGAGCCAAGTTCTGGAGGAAATCGGCGCCCTCTAGGTACAGTAAAAACTGCCTTCTAATTTCTACCTTTATGAGGCTAACTACTATGATTTTGTGAGCCAGCTTCATTAATCCGTCGTATTATGGTTCTCCACGGGTGACGATGGGCCGCACAGTCTGCACAGTTTGCAGGAGACAGACACCGGACACCGTAAATTGTCCGAGGCCCCAACCAGTTGCACGAAGCCCCTTAGCCTTTGATCCTGGAGACAGACACCGAACACCGTAAATTGTCCGAGGCCCCAACCAGCCGACGACAGACTGGTTGCGCCAAACTGTACTTCCACTTAACCCCGAGGACGACAACACTGATCTGTGTGGGGACCAGGGAGTTAGGACCTCCTTCACTATTCTTCCAGCTAGCGAAGAGAATATCTTAGACCGCTTCAGACCACACAGCTGCAAGAAAGTTGAAATTTGTTATTGTGAAGAAATGTTGACGATTATGTCGATGGCTATATACTAGGCCATTCACGATTCTCAAATTTTAGTGGCTTATTTCATCGGTCTCCAAACTAAGAGGGAGCTTACAGCAGCTTGGTGGACAGCGATTCAAAGACTAATTTACGATATGTATCGCGAGCATTCTTATTTAAAGGAGGGTTTTCCTACCGTGGTGAATATGGTTTTCTAGTCAGTTCTCGACCTGTCCGTCGAGTTGAAATGAAGACTTCAAATGTTCAGCTGGCAAAGTCCCTTTACTAGCTGCATAGGTTGAAACCACTAGGATTTGGGAAAATTAACGTGCGGATGAATGCAGTTGCCTACTGACTGACCTCCATCACCATCATCGTCACTATGACCGACAGCAACCCTAGCACTGAAGTTACATACTTCGTTGTCATTATACGATATTTGTATAATTTGACCTGAGGTAAGATCCGTCGACAGCTAACTACGTCACAAAGATAAGGAACTGTAAATAGCAACTGACATCCAAATAAACAGGGCCTGTATAATCTAAAGTCGTCTTCTTATCTGTATTATGCTACCATAAGAAGTTAGTTGCTCTTCTTTCCTTGATGGACCCGAGGACTTCTCGTCCAACTGAGTTATTCCTCGGCTGGCATCACTTCTGTTTCAGTTTTGCTCCCTCATATTCATCCTATACCTTATCTACTCCCAAACTGTGTTATGAATTCAAACGCTCATATATTGCTTTCTCCATGAACTAAACGAACCTATCGGGTTATTTAGGAACTTATTCAACCCTGTGACCAGAGGCCTGGCAGATATTTTACGAGACGTTCGTACAGGTACCTCTGACGTTTCCTAGGCGTTTTCTAACAACTTACTTGGGATTGGGCAAGCTAGAACTAAAGCATCAGCAGCGATTGGTAACAGATTGTTTGTAGCTTATAACTGCCATGAAAGAGCCGGGTATTTCAACAGTATACTTGATGGCCTCTCCACATGCTTATTCAGTCGCTTTAAATATAGTCTCTGATTTCCAATAGTCTGGTTGTAAATCCCATCTCATGAAGTCCACTGCATACGTTTGAAAGTGCGACTTAATTCGCGGGCCACTGAAAGCGTGTTAAACCGAATACTGCAGCCCAAATGTGCTCGATCATGACTGGGACAATCTAAATAAAAGTTCTCTTTCTATGGTGACACAAATAGAAGAAATCGATCGAAATTGGTTTTCACTGATGGCTTTTCTTTCAACAGGAGACTTTCCTAGTTGACTACGATGGAAAGGATAGAATAAAAGTGGTTCTTTCCAGGTGTGTTATTTCTAGAGTGGGAAAGCCATATGTGTCCACAAACTGTTTACTATTCTCTCTCTCTCTCAAGATTTTCCACAGCCTAATACCATCTTTGTTTAAAAAGACTAATGCTGTCTCAGCTTCATAGCTAAACGGACTAGTGCAAAAAATAAGGTCACTTAGAGAGCTGAGTTTGCTTGAGGCCAATAATAAACAAGTGTTCGGTTTTTGTGCCAACACACGGGTCGAAGACAATCGCTATCATTGTATCTTTTACTATTTATTTGACCAATCAGCACCAGTTTATAACAAGATTTTGGATGTGATCCCTTATCGCATCGCAACAAGCACAGCAGCCGTACTCACGTCCATTGGAATAATCACCGCCACATTTCTGAATAACTATTTCGCCTTCATGATACCCTTCACAATTATTGGAGGTGGGTATTCACTTTGGCTGTATTTTTATGTTTTGTGAGTTACGAGGAGACATTGAAGTTTGATTTCTAGTCAAAACCGAAACCGTACTTTGATGGAGTTGGGGGGACGAGCTACCAGTCCCAGATTTAATCGTAAATGTTTTCGTTACTGACCTATAACAAGCTTAGCTGTTGGATTCTGATTTTCGGTGATCGACTAAAAAATTGTGTGCTTAGAAAAATAAAAGTCAATTCTTTTTTGTGGGTATTTCATCAAATTCGTACGTTTTTCCAACCGTTCTAAGGTCTTTTGCATTACGTGGGGGCTAATGAATGGATTTTATAGAAAACGCTAGACACTGAAGAATCTATATTCTGACTCACATTCCAATTTCCCGGATTCTCGTTTAGGTATGGACGTCGTCATAATTACCTCACTTTCTGAGAGAACGCAAATATTTGTCAGTCATCTACTACTGGATGCAATGAGTCTTTTAGTGAACAGTGGATGGCTATGCGAAGGCAATAGGAGGGGAGCTTATCCACATCAGATAAGGGTTCAGAAACTTTTATGGGACTTTCAGTATAAAGTATCACCGTACAAGCAGTTTCCAAGTGTTCTCTTATTCGTAACTGCAAACGTACCCGTGTGTGGATCGATTTGATTAGAAATGATTTAAATCAGGCTATAATGTACTTTCAGACAACAGTCAAAATAAGGAGGGCGTTGGAAAATAGTGTACTGATTACACCATAGTTTCCTGAAAACCTCATACAAAACATCATAAACGAGAGATTCAGCTGATGAGTCTCCCGTCAAAAGCAAATTGGTGTGCCAATGAGTGCATTCCGCTTATACAAATCACTTATGTTACTCGGTTTGCTATATGGACTACGTGTTACAGATGATTTCCACGGAGTGAAACCTTGACACATTGCTGCCCCAGAAAGAGTACAACCGTATTGAAAGGTTTATAAAGTATATGACTAACAGCGGCTATCAAAAAGCTAAGCAAATGTCCACTAGATGATCCGGAACCGCAGCAACGCCCTCATAGTGCACTCTATTGACTGTCTCGATGCGCGAGACTTTTTTCCGATGGGCCGCAATCAAACTGGAGAAGCTGTTTGGTTGTTCAGATACATAATGGTCAGTTTCCGTGCCCGTAAAGCAGTATCTCTCGAACCTCACTCGCACCGCACTCACCCCTTCTGGCATAGGCTAATATCACTCTCTTTCATCCGTGGTCAGCACTTGAAGTTGGGTTGCCAGTCAAACGGATGGTAGAGTAGCTTCAGGTGAAAATAGAATAGCATTTCCGTTTAAAGTTTCAGCCCCTTACTGATTTATCACCTATGTTGATCATATATACATTCATTCATCTGGAAACAGCCGTAGAACCAATGCTCAACGCTAAATGGTCACGTGAATCTTCGTGTACACTTGATTGTCCTGATGGGCTTGCTAGAACTTTGATGAACATGCTACGGTACCGGTTTTCTGCCACTGGAATGCACAGCTAATGAACCAAAAACAGGCAAGGACCTATGGAGAGGTTGTCGTCCAGTCCTTATCAGTTTTCTGAAGAAAAGAGGGCCCAAATTCCTAGATTAGAGTCTCACCGTATAGACCCACGCCACCTAAGAACGTGAATGCTAGCAGTCGCCGGTGTTCCCATGCAGTTATCTTGGACCCAGCGAATTAGTCAACTTATATCAAAGCGAACGAATTAACCAAGAACTATCCATTCAAGCACCTATAACTTAAAATTTTGCGGTGCTTTACATAGCAGACAAGTCCCCAAATGCCATCTGTTACGATTTCGTTTGTCCCCCACTGTGCTTGACCGTGCGATAGTTTGTCCAAAGAATTAGTGAACGAGGCTAGTGATAAATTACCCAGAGAAAAATAGCCAAAAAGCCACCGTAAATAATACATGCAAGGAGAAATCAGATCACTGTAACACGTGCATACAATATAAGCCTTTTGGTTAGGTAGGAAACACGTCAGAGCGAGACACTTGATATGAGTCTATTAAGATATGCGTACAAAATTCTTAATCTTATATATGTCACAAGAGGGCATAAGAGTGTCATTTCGAATTAGCTGGTATTCAGACGTTCTGTATTTAGTGAGAAATGAAATTGTCCTGCAACAGTGCAAAGGACATTGTTTCGGTCCTAGTTTACCATGTATACTTTGGTCGAATACAGTCCAAGTTAATCAGTTGCTGCAGTTTTAGCTTTTTGGTAAATGACTCTATCAATCCAGCTTATGCAGTGCATTTTTTATTATCCCTTCATTCTCAGGAATCGGTCTTGGTATCAGTGTAGTACGAGTGCTCGCAATTGTGGCAGAACACTTTGACCGTTATCGAATCTTTGCCCTTGCTTTGGCAAGTAGCGGGGCTGGGTTTGGGACTTTCGTCTACTCAGCACTGGGAACTCAGCTAATCGAAACCTACACTTGGAGGGTGGCGCTAACGATCATTGGAGCACTTCATCTGAACATCATTCCTCTGAATCTGGTCCTGCGACTACTGCCGCCCGAACCGTTGAGACAGACCAATACCCATGCTGCAAACCAACCAATCTTGTCCACAAACAAACGGGAGAAAAAACGCAGTCAGTCTGGATCAATTTTGTCCCTATCTGGATGCAGCTTCTTGAGTAAACCTGATGGCGTCAGCGGTCCAGCTCAGAGTGTATGCAACCAGCAAACGGAAAAGGACACGTCACCTCGTGACTTGAAAATGATGGTCGAGTTCCTTCAGGCATCAGAAACTATCGTTGATCAGAGCCAAGTGCCGACGTCATCCCTAACATTTTTCAGTAAAGCCAATAAGGAGATATTTGATTTGATCAGGCAGCTTGCGAAAGAAACACTAGGTGAAGCTGAAACAGAAACCAGGCAAACTCTAATTCCCATGGTCTTTGTATTTGGTAAAATCGGGAATTCCGGGATACCTGATCTGGTTCAACTTCAAAACCTATGGAAGCCAGTTGTTTTCAGAGATGGGTTCGCTGTAGCTATGATGTCAAAGTACGACCGAAGTCAAGTATGGCGACGTCGAGTTGAGGGTCGCATACAAGAACTTGCACACGAGTTCAACGCGCATGGTATTGGAGTTTCTCCAGCACGCATACTGGTAATGATTGATCGGTTGGAGAACCAGATGCATTCAGAATATCCTAATTTTGGGTCGGGAGATCGTCCAAGTGTTCGGTATGTTTATTATGGTTCAGATGAAGTCCCCACCCTCAAAGAAGCTAAATCAGAGGATGTCAGGACAGACGGCACTAAGGTGGAAGAAAAACTTGAGGCAGACACAAACCCCATAATGAATGCAAAAATGCCACCGTCTATATCCATTACGTCTCGAGACTTCACTAACCCTACAGATAGTTCAGCTGAGTTGTCAATGGGCCGCAGAAGAGCAACTGACATGACATCATCTGTTTTTCTAGTTAGTAATCCAGAGGATTCAGTCGATTACGCGACACCGAAGCTAGAAGAACTTCGGGGCTGGGTTTGGGACTTTCGTCTACTCAGCACTGGGAACTCAGCTAATCGAAACCTACACTTGGAGGGTGGCGCTAACGATCATTGGAGCACTTCATCTGAACATCATTCCTCTGAATCTGGTCCTGCGACTACTGCCGCCCGAACCGTTGAGACAGACCAATACCCATGCTGCAAACCAACCAATCTTGTCCACAAACAAACGGGAGAAAAAACGCAGTCAGTCTGGATCAATTTTGTCCCTATCTGGATGCAGCTTCTTGAGTAAACCTGATGGCGTCAGCGGTCCAGCTCAGAGTGTATGCAACCAGCAAACGGAAAAGGACACGTCACCTCGTGACTTGAAAATGATGGTCGAGTTCCTTCAGGCATCAGAAACTATCGTTGATCAGAGCCAAGTGCCGACGTCATCCCTAACATTTTTCAGTAAAACCAATAAGGAGATATTTGATTTGATCAGGCAGCTTGCGAAAGAAACACTAGGTGAAGCTGAAACAGAAACCAGGCAAACTCTAATTCCCATGGTCTTTGTATTTGGTAAAATCGGGAATTCCGGGATACCTGATCTGGTTCAACTTCAAAACCTATGGAAGCCAGTTGTTTTCAGAGATGGGTTCGCTGTAGCTATGATGTCAAAGTACGACCGAAGTCAAGTATGGCGACGTCGAGTTGAGGGTCGCATACAAGAACTTGCACACGAGTTCAACGCGCATGGTATTGGAGTTTCTCCAGCACGCATACTGGTAATGATTGATCGGTTGGAGAACCAGATGCATTCAGAATATCCTAATTTTGGGTCGGGAGATCGTCCAGGTGTTCGGTATGTTTATTATGGTTCAGATGAAGTCCCCACCCTCAAAGAAGCTAAATCAGAGGATGTCAGGACAGACGGCACTAAGGTGGAAGAAAAACTTGAGGCAGACACAAACCCCATAATGAATGCAAAAATGCCACCGTCTATATCCATTACGTCTCGAGACTTCACTAACTCTACAGATAGTTCAGCTGAGTTGTCAGTGGGCCGCAGAAGAGCAACTGACATGACATCATCTATTTTTCTAGTTAGTAATCCAGAGGATTCAGTCGATTACGCGACACCGAAGCTAGAAGAACTTGTACCGAAGTGCTCTGAGACGGCTACTGTCCAGGAAAACATGCCAAAATTCATCCAGCTGGATCTTATGTTCCTGTCGTTCTTGCTATCCCGAACGCTTGGCTACATTACCGACTCTGTTGTGTTGGCCCACCTGAGTAACTTCGGACTAAGTTTGGGATTCGGTACTGATGAAGCATCCCATCTTTTGACGTACATTGGAATAACGGCAATGCTTGGTCGGTTTTTCAACGCTTGTTTAGTTCAGTTTGTTCCGAACTTGGATATGAGGATTTACATCTCAGTCTGTATGTTTCTGCTGTCCACTGGCATGATCATCATGCCTTTCTATCCTACTAAACAGGTACTTTCAGTCTTCGCTATTGTTTACGGGCTCTTGATGAGCCCGAGCTCTGTATTGGCTCCCGGCTTAACATATGAAATCGTCGGACCGAAACGATATGAGGCAGGAGTAGCCTATCTGTTCCAGTTTGAAGCAGTGGGTTTTTTAATTGGTGGTCCAATTGGAGGTAAGTGGTGGTCTTGGGTGACAAAAATTGGGACTCTTTTCCGTAAATAGTCGCATTTTTCTAACGGGTAAAGATGGTTTTTTTTGGGGGGGGGGAACCTGTGGATATGCTAGTATTTCTGTTCTTTCTCCATCAAGGCTACATCCATAGTTGTTACCAGGATAACGGGTAAAAAGGATACATTCTGTCTGAACTGACTGACTGACGGGTAGCTGCAGAATTCTGCGCAAAAGCCGGTCAGATCCAGATCAGCATGGGGAACTTTCATGTAGCACCGCATTCAGTAACAAGCAAACTGACTTTGATTTACCACCTACGCGCGGACACAACCGCTCTTCTGGGTGCCAGCCAAAAGCAGATCAAATGTGACGAGACCGTACGGCGTTGCTGGATGGTCCACTTACGTGCCGTTTACGCTAGAAAAGAAATACTTCAATGCTGAGTGCATGAAAAATGGATATCTTAAACGGCATGCCTGGTAGAAGCCGACCACCATTGTGAAGAAGACGAACTTTCTGAAATAAGCAACTACTTTTTTATCCTTGGTGTTCGCCATTTAAATGAAAACGGAGATGTAGGAAGTATCGATGCAGCGAATTCCGAGTATAGTGAGTTCTTTTATGGCGTTACTGAGTAAATAGTCATTGTTAGCACGACGGTGGTATTTAGTTTCCCACAATAAACGGATGCCTTCAGATTTTGATGATCAGAAACATTGTTTCTCTGGAAGAACTAGATTAGCTATGGATACAAGAGCAAGACTGGTGTAACCTTTAGAACATAACAATCACACCCAAGACAGACAGTAAGAGCATATCATTTGTACTTTTTCGGGTTCATTCATATCAATAACCGTAGTCGGTTAGAATGCCCAATGGTGAACTTTATTTCATTTAACCGTGTGGGAAACGAACGCACATTTTACGAATACGACTCTGTTGGACCTGTCTCTTGCGGACACTTGTCTCCACTGTTAACATGACTCAACACGGATAGGCATAAGCACTCATTAGTGTATTCCGGGGTTTGGCTTTAGCATCTGAGTATTTAAGAGTTTCGTCTTAATCATTTCACCGAGACTCAAGCCGTAAAAGAACATTCCCACCTTCGTTTAAGATAGGTCACCTGTGTACTGCCGACTTTTCTAGGCCATTAGGTTAACTAAAAAGAAATGTACATACAACTGACTTTTCTCTTGCTGTTATTGTCGCATCTAGCAAACGATGCCTAACTGATACCGTTATCCCTTGTTCCACACTCCTCTGTTAATTAGTATTCAAAATTGGCAACCTCACTGGCGTGGGCAGCTAGAGCTTACAAAAAGAGACGAGTACAAATGTGTTGTTCGAAAGGCATTAAATAAATATGCAGATAATTCTGTTAAATTGTTCAACGGGAAAAACCAATGTGGATATTTTCAGCAAAGAAGCTCTGTTCTTAGTAAAACTCACAGACTGGGTTGGTGAGAACTAACATAGCTAGACCATTTAAGAATGCCTTGTTTATTCAGTTGATCCTGCCCATAGAAACAAAATTAGTCTGAATATACACTCATCTGCAAACTAATTTGGTTCTTTCGAGAGACTCACCTGGAACCCAGTCTGAAGTTTGTTATTGCCCGAAGTTGTTATTGTTCTCGTTGTCGTTGTTGATATGTCACACAACGTGTGGTGCGTAATAATGGGAGCACTTCATTTTGAATATCCTCTCAGGCATCATAAAGGAGATTAATGGTCGCTACTACGAGTGCTTCATGTTCGGTGCAGCTGCCGGCTTCGTCACAGGGCTTATTCTCGTGTTGCAGAGGTTGTGGCTATCTCTCCGCTTCAATCAGTGTTTAGGTCAAGGGGAGAAGAAGACTATTTACAAAGTGTCGAAGAACATGTTATCCGAGACCAACGGAGATGTCACCGTTGCGGTGCATCCCTAGACAGCACGCCCAGACACCGAACGCTATTTCATAGCCGTCTTGTGCTATTTACGGTGTAGTCAGTCTATCTTTTCGAAGCAAATTTTCTTATACCTTTGCATCACATTACAAAACCTAATTGTCGTGTATCGGTAAAATATAGAGATTTCGTACATCGCTCTAAACTGCCAAATATTGTACACACTGGGTTCATATTTGTTGATGGTTAACAGACCGTTTGAAAACACAGTTGATTCGCTACTGGAAAACTTGCTCAAGGAACAACCCAGAGGCGTCCCTTACAAGAGGTCTTCACCAAGTGGCATAGAGCTAAAATATCGCAAAGGAGAGTCTTTTTCAGAAAACAAAACCTTGGGCTACATAATATCTTCCATCACCGATAGCAACAGGGTTTTAGCTAGTCTCTTGATATCTTTTTAAACAATAAAGTCTCTCACAGAAGGGATCGCTTGGGCTTGACTCCTTCTGGTGGTCTCCTTGTGCGGAGTGATGGTAACAAAGATTACGACCCATCACGTTTCCTGATAGTCGCAGAACTCAAGTAATCCTATACTAAAACCTGAAATCCACTTCTATACTTGTCTCGTAATCGGGGCCGTAAGCAGATTGCAGGTGTGGGAAAACGTCTCTGTATACAAAGTTGATGGGCCAAAATGGCTAAATATATCTATAGAGCACTGAGTTGAACAAAGGCCCTGCTACTGAAAGCCTTTTCATGCTGAACATGCCACATGACCCATGTGCGTGGTCATGTATATGAATGACTGGCATCCAAAGCGGAGGTGCCTGTTAACAGTGGTCAAGCCACTGGACACCTGCGCAAGAGGTGCTCACTGAGCCGAATGTGGTGCTACGCACAAGTGCTTGGCACCGATGCAAACCTAAGGAAGCAATATCGGCCGGAAAACATGAGCCATTGGCCAGCCTAAACATGGTGGCATAACACTGGGCACCAACACCACCAAGCAGTGTATAGTAGACACGCCTGGGTTATTTCCTTCATGTTTTGGCACCTTCTCCAGTATAACATCAAGCAAGTGTTGCCGGCGATCACCCAGTAAAACACCGTCAAGATGGTAATGGATAATCTGGTGGCACCCGATCGACACTGCGGCTAATGATGTTGCCATCCTTAGGATGATACAGTTGGATGGGCAGTCACTAGAAACTGTAATATACCCACATGAGTTCCAGGCAGACCCGTGAAAAGGCTGATGATCCACAAGATCGATCTCATCAGGGCACTTGCATCATCATGTTGCGCAAATCCACCCAGACAAGGTCGAACTGGGAAGATTTACCCCGTTCCAAATGGCTCACCTGTTTTTCAAATACGCAATGTGATGCTCCTCAAAGCATCTGACAGCCGCTTGGATAACCGTTTTCCGTGCAGTTCTGTCTGGTGCCAGGTCCCCCATGACCTAAATAGAAGCTACAATTTTTCAAGACTGTCCTGAAGGATGTCACCATAGCGGAATTTCTGGTGTCACCAATTTTGAACGTTATCGTTTGGTTGACAGTAGACAAGTTGTTTTGGGATGCGAGTTTTGGCCATTCCTTCTGGGTGGTCAAACAAGCAAAGCTGGTTGCACAGCAGACTGCGTTCAGTCCCAACAGCGCTTGTTCTTCGAAGGAGTTAAATGTTGTTGATTCTGAGCGGACAGCACCAGTGGACTTGGTTAAGGGCCCAAACAGGCCTTGTATTTGGCGTCGGGCTCGTTGGTACACGGTAGTGTCGAGAGCACAGAAGCCTACATACTGCAATCCGATTTTTTGTACACAAGAGGTGATCGCACCAGGCACGGTGATCCAGCGGGTACTTCCTACTAACCTATCTGCATTTATATAGTTTTCGAAAAGCGTCTAAGATACCCATGCTACTGGCTAATTAAAGTATACCCTCGTAATCTTATCGGTGTGTGTCCTTCAAACAGCAGGCAGTAGGCAAGATAGGAATCGAGTCTCGCTCTTATTTGGGCTGATCATCAGTGTATAGCTCCAATAAGAGCGAAACTGTTCAGACTGTTCAGAGGGATGTGAATATGAACAATACGTATCCTGCAAGCTCCACAACAGAAAGGTAGGAAGCATTACTGATATTCATTGCCATTTGCCGCGTCAAGTAAGCAAACACGACTCTCGCAAATTTTGCTCAGTTGGATGGTTGCTCATCCCTGAGCTTATCAAACGAATTGGTAGGAAGGCCATATTGACAGTATCCGCATCAATTGCCTAGAGCACGAATCATGTGTGATGGCTCCGCGAGGTTTCCATGACCAGTGTTCCGCTGAAATATGGCGAACAGTTCATCAGGTATTCGAAGATTGGAGAGTGTAAGAAAACAAAGACATTCCACTGGGTGCATAATGGCAGACAAGCGATCAGTGAGTGCGGGTTTGAAGCTGAGCTCTCAGGTAATCACTTGGTCGGAGATCGTATTCTGAATGACATAAAAATAGAGTGAATGGTAAATTGCAGCTGCGACCCATTGCTGAATCTGATGAACACACGAGTTTGGCAACACTGGTTGCATACCGCAATAGAGGCTTACTCATACCGAGGAAAGTACATCCCATGCATGAGACGATGAACCGAATGGATGACTAGCAACTGAGGATGTAAGTTTGGGGCGTTGTGCAGTTAGAAGCCGGCGGTAGACCGGTCATTTTGGTCAATGAGACAAACAATTTTTTAACCTGTTTTACTGCCGAACCAGAAAGCCGGTCACTTAAAGATACAAGCGCATGCCGTTGTGACCAGCAGTGAGAGAACGGATCTTCATGTTAGTGGCACAGTAAGAGTTACTGTTTTTTATCGGGTTTGTTGTCAAAAGGGGACCGTATGGTAATTGATGCACCAGCTGCCGATTTGGTTGTGAAGTTTCAACAGACCGGTCACTTCGCGATAGTGCTTCATGCAGCTACCACCTAGAAATCCTGGCTAAGAATGACCTTAGATCGGCAGTGCTGGTGCTTCTAGAGTTCCATTTACCGGCCCCCAACTCTTTTGAAGGTAAGGTTTCTAAAGCTATATTTACTCTAGGTTTGCGTAGAACTTAAAGTCGTACATGCATATGTGATACGGGTTGAATCATATGGACGCAATTCTCGATGATGTTTTGCACTTTGAAATATTCAACGCCCACTCAATATCAGGAAGGTCAGCTTCCTGAAAGCAACCAATGAATGCCCGAAATCTACGGAGACCCTTAGCTCCGCTAGATGTTGACCAGACAGACAACGCCCCCTCAGTATGCAGCGAGCCACAGCCTTGCATCAAACCCAGACAGCGCGAGTCAGCGTTGATCAAGGACAGACGACGCCTCCGCAATATGCAGCACGTCGCTGCCTCGTACTAAAGCCAGACCGTGTGCATCAGCATTGGACCAAGTTCAGACAGTGTCCTTCCAATAAAAAGCTCGAGGCCGTTGTACTTTTCGCACTTGCACGCACTCGCGCTCTCGCACCCACTTTGTTGGAATATAGCTATTGTGTTCCCTTCCGTGAGCCTTTTTCTCTCCGACACTAGGCACTGGAGCGGGTCAGCAGTAGATACTACAGGCCGGCGAATCAGCAGATTTAACACTCAACTACTCTTTCCTGGGTTGTCCAGTCAAACCTCTTTGAATGATTTCCTGATAATCATGTCGCATATGATGTAAACTTTCTACTCTCATGGATGTGGTTCACTCACTGAAGGATGTCAGGGGTGCTGGGCCTCAGTAATACTCTCGAGTATCTCCAAACGGACTGGACATGTCAGAGCAGTTGATAAGTGCACAGTGCATCGTTTAGCAATTATGGCCCACTCAGTGTTCCTGCATTAATGACGGAGAAGCAGGCACCTCAGGCTGGTGGCTGCTGAGCAACGTATGGGTTGTCCTGCTTTACTTTGAGCATGGGCACAACGCAGACTTAATGACGGAGAAGCAGGCTGGTGGCTGTTGAGCAACGTATGGGTTGTCCCGCTTTACTTTGAGCATGGGCACAACGCAGAGGCGGCGATTCAGCCCGTAAACGCTGATGTTCTCGCGATATCAGGCCAGGCTATAACGAGCTGTTGTATAGGATCCAGAGGGCTCGGGTTGCGAGGCCTCCGTTCTTGTTCCAAATAAATGCGGTTAGCACTGCTGCTTCATTCCTTCGTACTTCAGACATCTGTTTTAGAACCAAGTAGTCTCACGTTTGGAGGCAGGTGGTCTAATGGGTCCAGCATGATAACAATAAGACGGCATGCGATCTCACTACGCCGGAGCCGCACATCTGGTTTTCCTACGGCTGCTAGTAGGTACGCATCATTATTTGAGGAGCCCTCGATGCTTCTGTCTCCTCAGGCATGTGGATGTGTGACGGGCAGCAGCACGGTTCCCCTGTGGCTAGGAAGCAACGAATTCACCATCGTGGCTGGGTTTCACAATATGACATGTATATAATCTGAACTGGATGAAGCAGCATTATAGCTCGACGGATGTGGAGATTTTCATTCTAATATTCTTCCTGATACGGAACTTCGAGTTTGACGTGTAGGTTCGTTGATCCCGAATGTCAAAAGGAAGAATTGGGTTCGAAATTCTACCGTACGGTTTACACAGGGGTAAGAAAATGTGTACAACAAACTTCAGCTGTTCACGTTCTTAGATCAAAAAGCGCACAGATCTGTCACTGACCGGCGCAGTGCAGTGTCAACGCCGCGGAACGGTGGCTCAGTATTGTGGGTTGCTTTCGTCCATTCCGACGACAGTCTCATGATTCTCATTGGCTGAGCGGTCACACGGAACCCTTGAGAAAACAAGGCATGCTCAACAGACGGGACACGAGCGCGCGTGCGTAGGTAGGTTAGTGGCGCCCATTTATACACAGAAACAAGCCAATACACTGGTGTCGTACGGGACGGCCTCTACAGCAATGCGAGTGGTGCGTACGGATGAGCAAAACGTGGGCGGAGTAAGCAAATGAATGGGAGAATAATAATGTCAATTTAGATCCAGCATTCATATTGGTTAATCAGATGTTCGACCGAGATAATCAGATAACACCAGTTCATCCACCAGGGTTCAATTGGAATGTGACCGGTCCATTTGGATAGGCTTAAGTGAGAAGTAATGACGCCTGGTGCAGTATATTCACAACAGAAAAATGAATTTGGGCAGGCTGTGATT